ACGTCCCTGTGCCGCGTTACGTAAGGCCCACAGCGTTGTGAGATGTCGAGGCTCGCAGGTTGTCAGGCTTTACCCCCAGCAAGATTCCTGGTACTCATTTCTGTTAGAGGCTGAGTCGACCCCAGGGCCACAGTGCGGCTGGAAGGATTGTTAGCGGACGTCTGTAAGACGCACCGCCCTGTGAACACAGATGCATTTACGCGGTTTCCTTACGACGGTGAGCACAACCTGCTCTTCTGAAGAAACCAGAGAGGCTGGGATGGGTACTACACGTAGCACGAACGCGATATATCGGAAACGGGTACACAGCGAGCGGGATAGAGTGGGGGTAGCGCTCTCGACTTGGTCGGAACCACGAACTGAACACCGGCTTGGTTTTCCCCAGTCCCTCCAGGCAATTACCAGGATAACGCCTTCATCCGGCGGCGACCACTTCCTTCCAAATCCTTGGCAACTGCACGTTCATCTACCGCCGCGGCATGACCTGTTACTGACAGCCTCGTAAATTAAATTGCAAGAAATGAGTACAAAGTTTTTGTTTGGAAAACTGAACATGAGATACATTTGGAAAAAATGTAGACATATAATATTAAAATGGATTAAACACTGCATTGGAAGGTATGGACTAGATTTACTGGATCAGTAGAGAGTCTCTCGGTTTGAGGCCCGATTCCTCTACGTAAACCCGCACTGCTCTTCGGCGGGTGTTCGGTTCGATTCTCGGACGGAAGACTGTCTATGTTGGCTGGGGTCTCTCGTGAGTTTTCCTCAGTCCCTCCAGGAAAATGTCAGGACAGTACCTCGATATATGCCACGATGGCTTCCTTTTCAATAAATTATTCACTATCATTTAATCATTTGGCGTCTGCCACCGAGAGCGTCGTATAGAAACCTACCCTGAAGATGGAGGCAACAGGTTAGTAATGTGTCACCAGACCTCACGGAGTCACACCTCAGACGACAGTACCATTGAGGCGTGGATAATGTTACGGGTCATAACTGAGTACTTGAGTTCGATCCCCGAGCGTCGCATTGTCTTTACTGGCCCCGTCCAGCGAAGTGCTCTGATGTCGGATCAATAAGAGGTTGACCGCGCGTAACGGAACCGTCCTGGCGTCGTGCCTCGACGTCCTTAGTCATTGGGTCCGAGGTTCTCACAGCGGTGGTTATGCTGTGAAGCCGTGTAGTCCTGTCGGAGGAACGTAATGCCTCCATCTTCAGGGTAGGTGAGAAAGTCAAGTTTCGAACCAACAAGAACAAAGCAGATGATGGTTTCTTGGCTTAGCATCCGACCCTGAAAATGGAGGCTTTACGCTACTCCGAAACTACGATGACCTACTTCCGGAGTACATGGTGTAACATTTCAAAAGAAAATAAATAATCTTCAAGTGTGAATTTTGCGGACTGAAATTCATATTAGGACAACGCCTGCAGGTGGCAGAATGTGGACATAGGGGACTCGAATTGGGCGCCCTCACTTTGCACAGGAACCAGACTGTACTGATTGATCAGAAATTACAGATCTAATGGACAACGCAGTAGCAAAATTTTCGCCGAATATTGAGCGGGAATCCATCTCTAGGCAACCCCTGCCGTGAGTCCACGCTCACTTCACGGCCCTCGAGGGCCACTCTAGGCTCGCAGTTCCGCTGAATATGCTCGCTATGAAGTTCTACAGCGACAGCTCGACAAGCAGCCTAGAGCAGCGGTTCGCAAGCAACTCTCGTCTTCCGCGAGATGGGCCGACGTGTTCCTACAGTTCCTACACAAGCAAACAACAGCGCCCTTTACAGAATTTATCGGAAAAGCAGTAAGTTAAAGGATCGGATTGTCTCATTTCTACGCATGCGTCGCAATCTCTTGCATAACTTTTATTTATTCTTGCCGTTCCTGTCAACTGCTACTTCCGGTCTGTCTCTGCTTGCCGACATTGCATAGCGTCGGGTGGAAAGACGTCGTGTCACCGCATTTGCCTAAAGGGGCCGAGGGCACCCACTACAGGCTTCAGTCAGGACAGACAGTATCCCTTTCGAGATTCCAACCGAGTACCTTCCGAATTGAAAACCAGAGGGCTACCGCTGAGCTAACCAATTTGGTGTGGTTGTGAAGGTAAAGAGGTAAAGTTGTCCCTGTGCCTAATTAATCAGGTACCACAACATGAAGACCTATGCGGAAGTGGAGGTATTGCTCCACCACTCTTGACCTCGTCATTAGTCGGAGGCGAGAGGTCAGCTTGACGCCCCTGCCATTTTACCCCCAGTATCCACTGAGTAGAAGCCTGGTGGGCTCCAGAGTCGGTGTGGGTGCTGTGAAGGAGAGAAAAATCTTGCTCCCGCGGGGAATCGAACCCTAAGGGTCCAGCCCGTAGCCCGTCATTAACTCGTTTTTTTTTTGCATGGTTGTTGTTGAGATGTTGAGAGCACCACGTGACGTACGTACTTCCAACTACCAGTATGTACGGTTCACACTCGGAACAGTGGCGTGAAGTATCAGTTACTCAAGAAGTTCTGCAAACAGTTACTTGACGTTTATGGGCTCCACAGACTGGAAATGTCCTTCAACTGACGGCCAAAAAGCACGGCCTTCTTTTTAATTCCGACACTGTAACGCCGACCGAAACGTCTGGCCCTACTACAACTAACTGGGTTTTGTTTGCACTTGGTTTCCGTGGGAACGACGTGCGACAACTGAGACATGCTTCCCTCGCGAGACCGCGCTGCAGCTTAGCGTTGCCGAGGGTTACTGGACTCACAGAACATAACACGGGTATTGCTATTAATTCTTATGGAAATATCGGATTGGCTGGCATAGCGTTTTCCAGGAACGCAACCGGACAGACATAAACTGATCATTACCTTCATGGGACATCGCTCGGATGGGAAGCTTCTCAACCTAATTCCCACTGTTCCACACCGCAGTTAACCAGAGCGTGTCCGTGTTCCCTCTGGAAGGACTTAATCCCCTTTAAGTGATAAACCCCTCACAGCTAATGAACGCTAATGAGACTGCGGCGAGGTACTGACCGAATTTCATAGAGGGCAGTGTCTCCACGTGTGAGCACAGACACACTGGCACGCAGTGCTTATGTGACAAGTTGGTTGACGTTTGAAGCGTCGTACAGATCAGCCTAGCCTACAGACCCACAAAATAGACAGGGGGAAGACGGAAGGAGAGAAGAGAAATTGGAGAGGGAGCAGTGACAGACAGACGTTTCAAAAGAGTATAGAATAAACTTCTTATTTTGAAGGTTCCCAGTCAGTGCACATTCGTCCTTTCATAAGGAACATAAGAATAAATATAAAGGGCTGGGAAGTGATGGATTGAAGCCTGAACTGAGAAACACAGACAATGCGGAATAGCAGGAATGTAGATGAAAATGAAAGTTATCATTCGTCTAGGTAATATATATATAAATCCAGTCCGTACCTCACAGGGAACACACTCCGTCTCCATAACAACGCCCAACCGGTTAATGCTGTTTAGGGAAATAATCGCTGTTTACTGTGACAGCCATACGGAACACATAAACACACTGTGTGGGCAAAATGTAGAGTGATTTAGTGCTAAACTAGGTGGTATATATAGTTACCGCTGTGCTTTAAGGGATGTGCAAAATTAAGGTCTTCTTGGATGTACCGTCGTCAAGTCTGGTGGATGGATAAATACCTGAGGAACCCGCTGAAATTGAGTATTAAGTTCCGTCCGAAATTTGGTACCAACCTACCAGACTACATGGGGTCACACCCGAGGAGATCGAAATCTTATTATTCAATCTCCTATCAGCACTCAGCCCTGTCTGCTTCGAAACGTCGGTGACAAAACCACGTGCAACCCATGCGTGTTACTCAATGAACGTTTGTGTGCGAGTTGTGTTCTGTTACGTAGCAAAATGCTCTTCGCTGCATTTCGACTCAAATGAAGACATGACAACAGTGCTACATTCTTCTGCCCGTGTTGGGTATCGTAACGCCATAGACAGATGAAGTCAGACATCGTGAAATCTCGGCGGCACACTAACAAGTGAATTTTCGACAGGCGTGTAACATCAACCTCGTGCTAATCATGCAAAAAGCTGGTAGAATTTGTCTAAAACATCTTTGAGCGTACGTCATAACTTGAGTAGGCAACATTACGGAAGAGAAATCTTGTGTGTTGAACCAGATATCCCCTCCCGTTTCGGCAAGTCTTGCGTAAAGCGAATCTTACGTAAGCCGTAATTATTGCTGCATGTAAACTTGCTCGTGCTTCTCAGGTAAAAATGAAAGCACGGAAAAGTATTTTTGTAAACATGTAAAGCTAAGATGTTCAACAACAAAATTTACCGTAATTTACATGTCATTTACGTCTTACGCCTTAATCCCAGATATATTCTGGTTCATTGAAGGCAACATTTTATATACAAAATTATAAGTTTGTCTTTGGTTCTGTATGGGTATGAAACTTGGTCTCTGACTTTAAGGGAGGAACACAGACTGAGGGTGTTTGAGAACAGAGTGTTAAGGAGAATATTTAGACCAAAGAGAGATGAAGTGGCAGGAGGTTGGAGAAAACTTGTACTCTTCTCCAAGTATAATTAGAATGATCAAGGAGGATGAGATGGGCAGGACATGTAGCACGCATGGGGATATGAGGAATACATATAGGATATTGATGGGAAAGCCGGAAAGAGACCACTAGGAAGACCAAGGTGTGGGTGGGTCGACAATATTAAAATGGGCGTTAGAGAGAGGGAATGGGATAGTCTGGATTGGATTGATCTGACTCAGGATAGGGACCAGTGGAGGGCTCTTGTGAACACGGAAATGAATCTTCGGGTTCTATAAAATACTGGGAAGCTCTTGAGTAGCTGCACAACTGGCAGCTTCTCAAGAAGAGCTCAGCCCACGAGTGGGTGAAGGCGACGTTTTGATGGGGGACGATAAAGGATTTAATTTACATAAAGTCGAATATTGCAGAACCCGGGGAGCTTCTGTACGTTGGGGCGCAGTGCTGCCACCTACCCTGGGAATGTACGGCAGAACCTCCTTCAGCGTGTTGCGGTAGAAGTGAGACTTCTGACTCGGGTCCTTCATGTTGATAACGTCCAGGAACTGCAGCGCCTGGACAACCGGGTCGCTGCAACACACAACACACATCAGAAGATCTGAAGGTTCTTACTTCAGTTACATGGCAGAACAGGGATTCGGTTCCTGACGAAGGCACACTTCTGTGTTTATGACCATGCTCAGGCGGGTTTTCAAGCCCACACACCTCCGACCCTGCTGAGGTAAAGAATGCGTGGAACCATACCTCCATTCCCCCCCCCCACGTTTTCTCATAGCTCTGTGCTTAATGAAGAATGACGCTTCTTGTTCTGTTGTGACGTGTGTTAGCAAGTAGTTACGAATAGTATCAGAACATGAATGTCGGCACTACAGTGATCACAGTAGCCGGTAACAGTTCCTTTAGATAGCAGCAATGCTTATTGTACACTGTTTAGTCTTGTCAAGCTTGGTGTCTTCTTACAAATGCGGCTGACATCCCAGGATGTTCCCAATTACAAGGATAAGCATTTTTGAAAAAGAAAAAGTTTTTAAAAATTTCCCTTTGAAATTTCAACTGAATTTACGTCAATAAACAGGAACAACCTCGTGATCTAATTTAAGATACTATCCCAGCATTTGCGTGGAGAGACTGAGAAAACACAACAGAAAACACCGCTTTCAACAGTTCTTCTATTTTTGTAGGCGTGTCTATCGATCCGTTGCCTAGAAACTGCCGTTTATTGATTCGCCAATTGCATAGCAACGGCTGTACTCCTTACAATATATAAACTAAGCTGTCAGTATCCCAGGCTATATGGCGTCGAATGGTTGGATGGGTGACGAATAATGGATTTGAAAGCATGTGGAAGGAAGCGGTCGTGGCCTGTTTCAAAGTATTATCCCGGCATTCTTATGGAGGGAGTGTGGAAACCATGGAAATCCTCAGCCAGGATAACAGATGTCCTCGCTGAGGATCCAAGCCGGGACCTCCAGAACGCAAGCCAGAGGAACCTCTCTCGATGCCTTGCTCTGAAGCACGTGGTCCTGCAGTCGCTTTACAACGCGCATGCGTCGCTGGGAGACACTAGGGGCAGTGGGTCAGGAATAGCGGGAGAGCCTCTCCCTACTCAGACTGGCTCCGCAGACAACCCGAGCAGAAACATGAAGCGGAGTTTTCATTTCAGATTAAAACTCATGCCATATTAAACACTAAGCGCCCTCCTGCAGAGATTAAACAGAAATTCGGACCAACTCGCCACGAACACGGATTATGATAACAAGCATGGGCTACATAGGGACACGGCGTAAACGGAAATAAAACGACGCGTGCTTTCGGAAGGGGCTTACCGACAAGACGCCCTGCGTCGTGGCAGCTGTTCGTTCAACAGCGACATCTGAATTCATATTGCCACAATCTAACTCGTTGTCCCAACGTTCACAGAGCCTTGCTGCGCTCACAAAGTCGCACAATTATACAGGGTGTTGCAAAAAATAGAACCGGTGTTTCGTGACTAAATTGTGGCCAATGTATGGTCAGGGAAAGTGGTGGAAATAGCATAGCAGCGAGAGAGAGAGAGACAGACAGACAAGGGAACTGGATGCAAAAGAGAGAAACAAAAGATGGAAGTCCAGAGATGTGTCCACTTTCTTGCTGCGTATAAAATTCTTCCTATGCTTAATTAAGCACAAAGTTATGACGGCGACTGGGGGAGCTGAGTCGTAGTTAGCAGGAATCTTAACCTCGATACCAGATAGAGGTGAGCAGTCAGCTTCAAGCTCCGGCCACTTTACACTCGGGGTACGTAACCCTACTACCCACCACACAGGGCCGGTCTCGGCGCTGTGGAGAGGAAGAAATTTCTTGCCTCTGCCGGGCATCGAACATCAATTCCACCGTAAGCCAACCCATAGCGACCGTACAAATGGAATTCGCAGAGAAATTGTGCATCTGCTTCGTTACATCTGTCCGTCTGTTGTAACAAAATTGTATCGAAGTAGATATTGGAGAGTTTCACTAAAATTTGTTGAAGATCTTCGATTTTGGTTAATCTCGGACATCAATACCGGACCCTTCACATGAAGATCTCAGGGCGTGTCTGCGCGCATCCCGAGAGAAACTCACATCACACAAGGGAGCGCGCATTATAAAATGCCGGATGTTATCCCCTTTCCACATGGAGGAGCGTTACAATACCTCCCCCGCATCCCTGCGAGTCGCAGAAAGGATGGGAACCCAGGGGCTGGGGGTGTAACTGGGCCACCCCATCACAGGGACCTGGTCCTGTAGGTTGGGGGTTGGACCCATAGCTGATGTGTTCTTACCTGAAGTACTTGATGAGAGAGAGAAGCTGTGCCGTGGGTCTCTGCCTCGAATCTCGGCTGAGTAGTCTCACCGCAGCCTCCTGTAATGGAACTGGCACCCGAGGCAGAACGTTGTGGAGCTGCTCCTCCAACTGCAACAGGGACCACGCACCGACTCAAGTATATTCCGCAGCAGTACGCTGGTAGCTATAGATACCACCCGCGTTAACACCGAGGAGGCCTACTTTCTGCCCACACAGTGTATTTACGTGTTCCGTATGGTTCTCACAATAAACAGCAATTATTTCCCTAAACAGCATTACCCGATTGGGCGTTGTTATGGAGACGGAGTGTGTTCCCTGTGAGGAACAGTTTGAATACTTATAAAGCCTCCGGAGCCGTCAGTCATGGACCTCCGGTCTCGGTCGGTTTTGACGAAAATGCTCTGCAGTCTCCCAGAGCCATCAGAAAGAAATATATGGTCGTGAGTCCCGTGGGACTCGGTACCAAGAATAACTGTGCTGGCGAGGCCCAGAAGAAATGTAGCAGTCAGTCAGGATTAAAGGAGTTAAAAAGAAATATAGAGCTTGGGCAGTCTGGAGGTTTGCAAGCAAATAATCCTGAACGAAAACTGTTATATCCATATGTGACATTCATGTCAAGTATGGAGCTTTACCTCCACTCCCACAATTCGCTTCCGAGACGGGACCCGGTTTGCAGTTTCCTGTACGTCTACGTGTTAGAGAGCGAAGAGCCGCACGACAAGTTCTGAACGTTCCAAACTAAATGATGGCGACCACAAATTAATAATGAGGCCTCCATTTTGTGGGACGTGAGGCCGCGAAGTCTGGTATAAGTTCGCCGACGTTTCTGAAGAACGTTCTTCCTCTATTTTCAGCATCGAAAAGTAAACCAAGCAGAAAAGTAGCTTCTTCTTTGACCTTGAAGATCTGGCAGGACGTTCCTCCGAAACGTCGGCGACCGTCCACGTCACCATGTGCCCTTGCAACCCAGACGGTACTCTTAAATTCTAGCGATGAAAACTGAAATCCAAACAAAAAAACATTTGTTGGACGTGAGGTTTTCAAGGAGGTGACTATGTACAGTGGGGTGTGTTTCGGAGGAACATGTCCCCATCATCAAGGTAGGGAGAAAGCCAAGCAAGAAACCAGCAGATATAAGAGGCAAACGGATTTGAGCTTTCTCTTCGACCATGAAGATGGAGGTGAAATACTCTTCCGAAACGTCGTGGTCTCTCCGCACTTCACGGCGTTACAACCGAGAACACTGTACTCTTCAAGAAATAATATCTGTCCGAACTTCGAAACTGTGTCTGGAAACGCAAGGCTCAAAGCATGACCTCTCGACGGCAGATTGCAGCGGACGTTCACAGAGTTCGCGATGCATTCGTTTAATGAAACAGCAAGTGACGTCACCGGACAGCAAACAAACTGACGTCTTTCCACTCCGCGCTTTATAAAGGTTTTTACGTCACAGCGGGAAGCGGCAACTCGAGGTAAAAGGCGGAACTGGGCGCAACGACCCGTCGGGTGGAGGGCGGGCCCAGCGCCTCCATTTGCGGCCCCTCTCTGACAAACAAGGGGCTTGGGGGCTCCCCCACCTGCCTCTTACAGAGGTCATGTCACTGCACCCGCGTGGCGTAGCGCTGACGTGACGGGTTCGCATCTGGGCCAGGTCACCAGCTATCCACACAATTCTCGTGCCTTTCCTCAGCTCCTCAGAGCAAAACTCAGTTACGTCACACGAGACGCCTTCCAAACCATTCACAACTTATCCTACCAGGTAAAGGTAAAAAGGTAAACTTGAAGAATGCCGTCTTCTGGGATGTGGCGCCGTGTAGATCTTGTGTGAACTGAAGTTTCGGAAGAACTATCTCCTCCATCTTCAGGGTAGAAAAATCTGAGAGCGACGTGAGCAGGTGGTTACAGCCACACAAGATCTACACGGCGCCGCATCCTAGAAGTCTGCTTTCTTCATAGTCACCGCCGTGAAAACCTCAAATCTTACATAGGTAAAGTTGTCCCTGTGTTTGCTTAATTAAACACCACGCCGTGAAGATGTATGGGGGAGTGGAAGTATAGCTCCATCATTCTTGATCTCGGTACTACATTCAGGTGAGTGGTCAGCTTCACGACCCGGCCGCTTTACCCGTGAGAAATCAACTCCCAGTACGCACTGTATGGACGCCGCGAAATAAGGAAAAATGTCTTACTCCTGTCGGGAATCGAATCCTTGGCAGAAATAAAGAAAGGATAATTGCATATTCTTGCCGAACAACTGTACCACTTACGTCACGTAACGTTGAAATGGCGATCAGATTTCTAACGAACACTCTGCTAAATAAACAGGTGTATGTGGCTCGCAGGCCCCAGTTGGCTCCCCGTGGAGCGAAGCGAGCCAGTTCAAGGTCGCAGGGCAGATCGTCCCTGGACCTGGGCATCATTAGCGACGTAACGACACTTCTCGTCCCTCAGAGAGAGGCGGTCGCTTAATTGCGCTAATTAACGCTGCTACATTAATTAGGACTCGGCGAGCCTCACACAGAGACACTCTCTAAATGTAAGAGAGACAGAGACATAGCAGGACCTGAGCTGTGCTCACTAGCCTGGGTGTTCGTGAACGAATTAGTTGATTCGCGTTAGACAGTTCTGTGAACCACTGCAGGCACGAGACAAAGAGTTTCGATTTTCTTGCTTAACTGCAAGGTACTTGCGTCTTTCTTGTTTAGGGCCCTCCAGAATAAGACGCGTAATCAGCGTCATTAAATAAACTACACAACAAACACAAAAATCCCTGGTTGCCATCATCTGATACTATTCGTAACTACTTGCCAACATATACATGCATGAGCTAATACAGTTCGTCGCGAGATTTTTTTACTGTGAATACTAACTCCAGGGAGCTGAGCCCTTCTTGAGAAACCGCCAGTTGCGCAGATACTCAAGAATTTCTCAGCATTTTATGGAACCCGAAGATTCATTATTGTGTTCACAAAAGCACTCCACTGGTCCCTATCGTGATCAAGATCTGTCCAGTCCATACCACCCCATCCTATCTCGGTAAGATCCATTTCAATATTATCCTCCCACCTACGTATAGGTCTTCTGACTTCCCCACCAAAATCCTATATGCAATCTTCTGCTCCTCATGTGTGCTACACGTCCTGCCCACCTCATCCTCCTTGACTTGAATTATGCTTGGAGAAGAGTACAAGTTATGAAGCTCCTCATTATGCAGTTTTCTCCAACCTCCTGTCACTTCATCTCTCTTCGGTCCAAATATTCTCATCAATACCCTGTTCTCAAACACCCTCAGTCTTTGTTAGTCCCTTAACGTCAGAGACCATGTTTCACACCCATACAGAACCAGAGGCAAAATTATAATTTTGTATATTCTAATTCTTATGTTTTCAGATTACGATAAATACAGTTTTCCGTTTATTGCAGGTTCCATGTTAGGTTTTGCTGTGCGTTAATTATTCGGCTCGCCTCTATCGCGCATGTGCAGATCTGTGGCTTGCTGACACGGAGGCAGCCAGCGGATGGTGAAACGAGACTTCGGTGACGCAGAAAGCAACAGTGGCTCCATCTACCCGCGTGCGTGGGCACCTTGGCTGCCTTCTGGTCCAGCGGTTCAGGCTCTGCCGTCAGCAGGATATAAGCATATTTAATAAACGAGTCATTTATTTTATATAAAGTGGAACTTAAAAGCCCGTTCCAAGAATTCTACACTTTGCGTGCTGTTCTGTGATTCTGCTTAACCAAATGTATTATGCATTAGATCAAAATGACGCAGTCCTTAGGGCGATGTATGAGCTCTGAAATTACGCAGTTTCATGTTGTCATAGCAACGAACTGTCGAGCATCAACAAGCTACACGGCTGTAACTTATGTAGTACGTCACAAATGGGCAAGCAGTCTTTTACTTCTGTGTATCGTGTCTATTCTGTGACTACTGATAATCTCTTATGCGGAATATATATGTGTAGTACACTATATTAAAGAAGGTGGTTTACGATTTACTGTTTGTGCTTGTTATTCGTGGCAGATGGCGTTAATCCCCGGCCTTGACGTATGGCTTCATAACAAGGGCTGAAAATGACAACAGTGGAGAGAGAAGGCTTATGCGCCTAGCAAATGATGAAATTTCCCACACAATTCTCAAGGGAACTTATATTGGCAGGCATCACAAAACCTGTACAGTTCGGAGAAGAAGAAACAAGGACAGGACACCCAATTTTCTCACTGAACGAAAATCTAGAACAAATTAGAGAGAATGGAAGCAGGAGTACCCGTTCTTCGCCCGGGATATGTTTGCCTTTCCGCCAGCAACACAGTATACTTTCGTAATATATCTGGGTGTTCTCCATTAGGTCAGCGATAGGAAACAGCAGATAGAAAAGTTATTTACTCACACAAACAGAGAAGCTCAGTATGTAAAAACAAGTATTGCGACGGTGAAGAAAACGCTCTTGAGATTTTGGCGAATCTACAGTTTCTGAGCCCCACTCCCCACCCCGAATACCGAGTAGTTTTTTGGTATGGCGTGTCTGTACGTGTGCCTTGCTAGCGCCCGAACGGCTGGACGCATTGCGTTCCTGTTCAGTCCATCATAAGTGGACATTCAGATGGGGCCAGAAAATGGCAACTTTCTCAAAAATGATCACAAAATTTTGTTATTTACTTCATGGACACCGCGTCCCTAAATAAAACTGCACAGATGGCATCTTCCACCGGGCAACAGTGAGAGACCAGGGGCCCACGCGCTTTATGTCGGTTTTGCTTAACTCAGCTTCGTCTGCTCCACAGATTTTATTGTTGTTCTGTATTCAGCAAGCAACAACTCTGTTCGTTTCCAAGGCAACGGGGTGAATGGCACGTGAGAAAGTAAGCACAATATATCTGCTTCAATTTATATACGTTGCTACTATTGCCAACATGGCGAACACTTGATACCTACTTGCAAACACGAAATGCGACATTTTGTCACAAGGCCTTCCAGCCTTTGATTATTTCCACATAACCTAATCCGTTCCATGTTGCCCGCCCCTACCCTAAGCATCTCCTCGAACACGAGACAAATTACACCCCATAACAGCGACCCTATCAACGGTTATTTCGTGGCAGAAGGGTGAGCAGTGAGAGCTAAGGTCTGCCGGTGAGCTCCTTGGAAGTTGAAACCCTGATCAATAAACGTAGACACTTCATATTTGTTATTGATTCAGCTCGCCGTGTGTGACAATTGCAGTAATGAATCATTAGCACTCGACACAGCCAAGTACAGTCAGCAGTCTTATCAGTAATTACATCTACCGCCATTGTGCACCTGGTCGCTTTTCTGTTTCGTTAACCTATACAGTGTCAGGAGGACTCCTTGTACGGGGGATCAGCCCGTCGCAAGGCCGCTACCTACACACACGACAACACAAACACAGAATAGATGCACACAGACATCAGTGCCTCGAGTGGGATTCCAACCCACGATCCCAGGGTTCGAGCGAAGACAGTTCACGCCTTAGACCGCGCGGCCGGCACAATAATTACATCTGCTCTTTCCTTGTTGCAACCTTCCTTGTCCTTGTTGACTTCAGGGGGCACTGAGCTATATTGCTTTTTATTCGTGGGATGGGGTGAACTTCGGTCCAGTAGTGGGGCCCATTGTGCTAGCCCCAGATGACAGATGAGTGTGGAACAAGAACTGGCAGGGGACACAGAAGTGCCGGGAGAAAACTTGCTCCAATGCTGCCTTTTCCTCCACATATCCCACATGACCTGGGCTCGAACCCGGGTCGCCGGGATGGGAAGCCGGCGACTAACCGCCTTGCCGACAGACCTGCCTCTCTGAGCTACACGGGCTGTCGCTATCCAGCCTGTTTCCTTCAGGGAAGAGGCAGCATGAGTAGACAAAGAAATTGGTCTCTTCCCAACTTTCGAACCAGCTGATCGATCTGCTAGAAACTTGGTACTAATATTGCGCCCCTCTATAAGCCACGGCAAATCAGTACTTTGTGCAGAGTGGGCTAGCGCAGCGGTAACATTATCGACCCGTAACCGAGAGGTTACAATAAACTCAGGCGTAAAGAGAGGAATGAGAAGACAACTTCAGTTCAGGTCACGACCACTTCTTTGCAAATGCTTTCCGATTCGTCATCTATGAATTATCCTGCTAGTAGACGCTGTATCGTCTGGCGCTGTCGGCGGCGTACAATAGGACACAAAGAGAACACTTCTTAAATTCCTGCAATAAACAATAACAACATGGCGGATGTGCGAACTTGTGTGGTGCAACGACAGTAGCGCTAGGAACTCCATAAGTATGACAGACGCCAACATACAAAATAATATAGAATTTATTAAGGTAGCCACTTTATTATTGAACATAAAATAACAACATGGCCGCTAAGCGACACATTTAGACTTTCCGGGCTTTTTAAGACATCACGTGGGACACTAGTCTGCATTATCAGGGTCATTATGATCACAATCAGCGCGTATATATATGTACCCTTCATCCCACTGTCACGTGACAGAATTAACGTCAGGTCGTGTCAAGTGGCAATGTGACCCCAGCTGCCTGTTAGTGCCCGAGGTCACAGCACGTTTCCTATCTCAGCCCCACCCCCACCGCAACGCCAGGTTGGCACGCACATCTGGGGCGAAGCACACCTGAGAGGCCTTCATTCCCTACCTGCACTCTGTCCCCTAGGTCATGGCACGGAGTATCCTGCTACGTGGGCATCAACGTTTCGGAGGAAAATACTGCTTCCATCTTCAGGATAGCTGATAGAGACAACAGGTTCTTCCCAAACATTGGAATGCACCTATGAGACTACATGGTGTTACAGCCAACAAAGCTGTAATATTTGTGTGTGTGTGTTATTATTTTGTTCTGCAATGCTAAACACTTCACAGATTGAAGTTCTTCCGAGTAAAGGTTAAGAATTCAATTCGCACCTCACAATACGAGGACATGTGAGTGCTGCTTACCTAAATATTCGAAATGACATGTTACTGTTCGCTTTTGCAGATTCACTTGAACACACAGGTTAGAAGGGAAGAAAAAAATATGTTCCTTACAAGCGAAGTGCCCGTTCTTCCCCCGGGATATGGCTGTTCTTGCCAACATCACAGAACAAATTAACTAAAATGTGAATGAAGGAATATTATTCATAAAAAGAAATTAAGTGTACGGAGTATATTTAATAATTAATAAGTTTGGGTGTTCCTTATTAGGCCAACTTATTTTCTTTACTGCTAGTGGGGTGGGACTAAGCCCCTTGCACTGCGGCCACTTCTGGCCTATTGTACCAGCCCCAGATGATTGGTGAGGGTGATTGTGGAGCAATTGGTGGAATGAAGATTGGCAGGGGAAACCGAAGTACTCGGAGAAAACCTGCCCCAGCGCCACTTTGTCCACCACAACTCCCACTTGACCAGACCCGGGATCGAACCCGGGCCGCCGCGGTGGGAAGCCAGCGACTAACCGCTTGAGCTGTGGCGCGGCCTAGGCCAACCTAAGAACGAAGCAATATAACGCAGTTACATACATACACATGTGCATACACCAGATGCACGAATTGCGAATGATATTGATAGGCGAGGGGGCACGCGGTAGCGTAGTTGCTTGAGACACTATGCTACAAGCCGGAAGGTCGCGGGTTCGAATCAGAAGAGGTGGAGATTTTCAATTGACCTAATCCTTCCAGCCGCATTGTGGCCCTTGGGTCGACTTAGCCCCTAACAGAAATGAGTACCAGGAATCTTTCTGAGGGTAAAGGGCGGCCGGCGCGTGAGGCTGACAATCTCACTGCCATCTGTAAGCAGACTGTCTATAAAATGTGGGAGCCTCGACGTCTCACAGCCCCATGGGCCTCCACGCCGTGTTACCCTTTTTGCACATTTTAATGATTGGCAAATAATTTTCTGTGATTTTCTTGTCAAGAACCAACATCTGTATATTGCCATATTTATCTATTGTTTTGCTCGTTACCATGGCAACCACGTTCCTTACCAAATTTATGTTTCTTAGTTCAGTCACATTTCAACAACTGAACTCACTACAAAACCGTAACCACGTTAGATGCAACGGAAATGCACATTCAGTTGTTAGCAGGGTAGGCAATACCCACAAACCAAATTTCCTTTCCACCAAGGACACGGCATTTTGAAGTTGCGTGGAGCTGCCTGCAGGCCACAGTAACAATATGGCTAAATGAAATTACTGTTATTTAATGAAGCTCCTGTTATTGACATGAATTCAACTGTTGCAACCGTTGGCCTTCGGTACGATACGCATATAAATTACCGCAAGGCAAGCTTTGATATAAATCTATTAAATATGATGATGTATCAAAATGTAATGGTGGTAAATTTGGACGTTAATAATTTTGATTATTATGAACTCAGGGAAATTTTGGAGCAAGGCCAAAATGCAGTAATCACGAACAGGATTGGCAAATGTTGGCCTACAATTTACGTCACTGCATAAAACCCACGGACAGACGCAATACACGAAAAGACTACACATTCCGAAAAATTTCGAAAATATTCTATTGATATCCTATTCTACAGGGGCTCGGATAGCTACGGCCTGAGTGATAGAGGGGTAGGAGTTCGAGCCCGGTAGGATCGAGAATTTTCCCTTCTCTACGTCTTTGAGACCGACTCTGGGGTCCAACTCCTATCCAGCCGGTATGTGGGTTCTTTCCTCGGGTTAGAGCGGCAGGTAAGGTTGCCTAGCTGAGGTGCTCAGGTGTGACGCATCCTCAGAGATGAGTTAGACAGGGTTTAGGCCAGTACTCACCACTTCCAGCTGTTTCATGTACGTGGAACTGCTGTGGTTGGCCTGAATGAGTGGCCGGCCCTGGTTGAAGATGGCGCACACGACCAGGCCCAAGGAGAACATGTCGCTCACAATACTGCACAGGGACGATGTCTGCACCTCGGGAGCTGTAGGCACAAGCACAGGAACAAGTTTAGTAACCAAGTCTCGTCCGGTCCTGCCTGAATCGCTGACAGTCGCTCACCTACTGAAGCACTCCCCGCTCCACCACCCTTATGGAACCCTAAGTTCATCACCGTCTTCACAAGAGCCCGCCACTGGTCCCATCTTGAACTAGATGAACCCAATCAACACACTGGTATCCTATTTTTATAAGAGTCATTTTAATATTATCCACTTATCTAAGCGTCTCTTTCTTTCAGTATTTCGCCACCCGAACTTCCGAACATATTTGCTGGATTTCTCATGTGTGCTACATGTCTTACCTATCTCGTTATCCTTCGAGTTGATCAGTCTAATAATGTTTTGCGAGTAGTACAAATTAACAGGAGTCGGGATAGCGACTGGCTACCGGTCACACGGCCGAGGCGTGGGAGTTCGAGTCCAGGTATGGTCAAGTATTTTCTCTTTTCCAAGTCGTTCAGACCGACTCTATGGCGCACCTAGTCTCGTATCTAATGGATACCAGGGACTGTTTCCCCGGGAATAAAGCGGCCTGGGCGTGAAGCTGGCCACTCATCTCCAACTAGTGCCAGATCCAAGACTACGTGGATCCTTACATCCACCGCAGTGTAAGTCTTCATAGCGTGGTGATTAATTAGCTAAGCACAGGGACAACTTTACCTTTACTCTACAGTACAACTTATGCTTGATGTAGCTCCTCGTCGGCCATATTAAGGAGCAGCGTGACGTCACTAACTGACCTACTTTCGTGAAGCTCGGTGACCTCTCCAGCGCGTTAGCCACCAGCTGCATCTGTGCGACACGAAACCTCCTTATTTGTAACCTGCACTGCACATTTTAACCCTGAAGACAGAAGCAGCATTGTCCTTCGAATTCAATATTCATCAATACGGTGTCACATGCCGGACGACCCTAATCTGAGCAATCACCGCCGTATAAACTTCGAGACTTGTATCACTTGCTTTGTTTATTGACTATTTCTCAACTGAATAGGTCATAAAGCGTCAAATTGGAAGGCTATACGTAATGATGAACTCTAAGGGATGTGGAGGGAAACTGTAAGGCCTATATCTTGGAATCTGCGTAGAGAGACTGAGAAAAAGCACGAAAGTAGACTTGTCAGGATAGCAGGAATCATGACCGGAATTTGAACAGGAGACCTCCCTGCAGCAAAGTAACATGGCTACGGTTGACTGTATATTCAGAATTTCGAAGTGCGTACTCGGTGAACGCGACTTATATCTTGCCTAGTAACGACTAATTTTCGCAACATCCTGTATATAGCTGGCGTGGAGGGAGAGCTGAGAGCATTATTTTGTGAGTTTGGTCTCAAAACAGGATTGTTGTTGTGAAGGTACGGGGGGGGGGAACTAATAAAAGTTAGTGAACTGTTCAACTCATGCAACTGCTTTAAATCAAATTTAAACTTGCAATACGGGAATCTATTATGAACCATTTGCAAAGTCATTAAAGTCAAGACAGCAGAAAACAATTATGAGGCCACCGCCCTCTCTTCGTGGCGGAATACGACGAATTACTTGGTTCAACTTGTCACTTTATGTCGTCTTCTCAGCCAAAATCAGAAATAAAGTGGTTTATTATTATTACTCCTTAATTTTAAAGTTCCATAGGTCCCGGGTTCGGCACCAACATCACGGAAGATGAAGACAAATAAATTTTAAAGTTCCTAAGGTCCCGGGTTCGGCACCAACATTACGGAAGATGAAGACAGATACATTTTAAAGTTCCATAGGTCCCGGGTTCGGCACCAACATTATGGAAGATGAAGACAAATTTTGAAGTTCCGAAGGTCCCGGGTTCGGTACCAACATCACGGAAGATGAAGACAAATTTTGAAGTTCCGAAGGTCCCGGGTTCGGTACCAACATCACGGAAGATGAAGACAAATAAATTTTAAAGTTCCTAAGGTCCCGGGTTCGGCACCAACATTACGGAAGATGAAGACAAATTTAAAGTTCCAAAGGTCTCGGGTTCGGCACCAACATTACGGAAGATGAAGACAAATACATTTTAAAGTTCCATAGGTCCCGGGTTCGGCACCAACATTACGGAAGATGAAGACAAATACATTTTAAAGTTCCATAGGTCCCGGGTTCGGCACCAACATTACGGAAGATGAAGACAAATTTAAAGTTCCAAAGGTCTCGGGTTCGGCACCAACATTACGGAAGATGAAGACGAATACATTTTAAAGTCCCGTAGGTCCCGGGTTCGGCACCAACATTACGGAAGATGAAGACAAATACATTTTAAAGTTCCATAGGTCCCGGGTTCGGCACCAACATTACGGAAGATGAAGACAACCACATTTTAAAGTTCCAAAGGTCCCGGGTTCGGCACAAACATTACGGAAGATGAAGACAAACAAGGATATCCCAAGAGTCATGACGACCAGTCACCACGCTAATGCTAAGTGTGCTTGGGCTGATAGCGGATGTTACAGCGGGAAGGTTAGAGGGGCTACATGGGTGGATTCGTGGCAAGACGCCAGTTCAAATGGATGCGAGGCACGTAAAGAAGGATTTACGAGAACAGAAAGTGAAGTGATGGACGTAGAGAAAAGACAATAAAGACGAAGAGACGTCCGCCATGAAGGGTAACAGTGTCCTCAGCGGACCGTATAGCAGTAAGCAGTAACATGTGGCTACATTGCTATTATCAGCCAGAGACATCTATGAGTGTACGTCGCACTACGTGTAGGCAACCTAACGGAAGGAAAGTCCCGTATGCGTTCAGTGAGATCTCGTGTGTTGGAAACAGAATCTAGTGACTTCCTAATGATGACGCAACGACCTACGTCACTGTCTGGTGATGACGCAACCTTCAAAGTGAACTAAACACGGGGCTGTGACCCCGTTCAGTTCGGTAGAAATACGACACAGAAGATCACGCTTTTCACAGCAGTCGACGTGAGAGCCTCAAGTCTGACAGCATACAGATGCAATCTTGCCACCAGCTTCCAGTGCTGCCAACAAAACCAGAAGGCTACCTGTTGCAGGAGGCGAGCTATATCGATCGGGCATACAACAGCTACCTGTTGCTACCCAGGTCTCAATCCTGCAGCTCTGCGATGAATCGAAAGGAGCCTAATGTTACCAGCACTCAGGATAAGGGTTCACTACTGACGGTTCGCGAACCAAACAAGACAAGCCAATATCAACGCAACTCGTTTACTGAGGTTATCCCCGCACTCAGACGTATAGGTGAATTGAAGCACAAATCCAAGCATTCCGAACCTCGCGACTACGAGACAACGGGTTAGCTTCACGCCCCGTCAATTTTACCCCCCCCTCTCCGTACCAATTCTATAGGAGAGGACTGGATGGTCACCAGAGCTGGTCGGAAGCTTGTGGAGAAAATATCTTGCCCCTCATTGGAATCGAAACCGAATTCCTTGGTCGTCCAGCCCGTAGCTAGACAGATCGATCCTGATAACAAAAACCTCTATCGGTTTGATACTGTGGTCAAGGTTCGTTAACACAAATTATATCATGGTCCCTTCCTTTCCTCAGGCAGTCTAGAGTAACGTGTCCCTATGGACCTGCAACCGCGCCTGCGCACATACCTTTACGTCCCCACGTTCCAGCAAATTAGTTTCGATCCTACAGATTGCTGTGTTGTGGTATACGACGCCGTATACTGTGGTAAACCTTTACCAACGTTTCGGAGGGCTCGCTGCTTCCATCTTCAAGGTAGGGAGATATATGGATTCATCACGGTCCTTCGCGTATTGATTGGAAAAGTAAAATCAACACCCTGAAATTTCTACTCTTCTGTCCTGAAAATGGAGGCAGCAGGTTCCTCTGAAGCGATACTGTAAGGCGTCAAATCCCACAAAAGGGCGATCTTCACAGTCTCCAGCTGCACTGACTGTGGGATTAGCTCGTAAGAGCCGATAGAGGCGAGGAACCCCGCTCGAAATGGCACCAACACACACTTAGTTGTCCAAGAAACAGATTGAAGGCAGAATTCCGATAATATACTGTCAAATAACATCTGTTTAAACAGGCGACGGTACAACAGATGTCGCTATAGAACCGTTCTGTGGATACGTTGTCCCCGGCAACGAGAGAACACGCAACAACGAGAGAGACGTTTTCTGTACGGTCCGTGAGGTGGCTATATAGCGAGGACTAGTAGTTCAGTTGAGTGTTACAGTTGTGAGAGGTGAGAAGCCGGCGACAGCTCGGGAATTCAAAGGAAGAGGAACGTTCTCCGTTAGAAGCTGCTACCAAGTAACGGTTAGTAAAGACTGAGAAGACTTTATATGTGCTCTAGTTACAGTGATCTTTTGAGTGTTCAACTCAGTAAGACTGTCGTAGCTCTCTGTAGTTACGACACACTCATTTATGTGACAATACGGTAGGAACTTACTTGTCCAATAATTTGTACTGACACAAGAGAAAGAAAAAAGTTAGAGTCTTCCGAGACGTAACTCCGCGTGGATCGGAAGATAGGTAATAATGTTTCGGAGAAACCTGCTGCATACATCTTCAGGGTAGACAATCAATCCGGATGGGGATGTGACGTCCAGAAGAAGGAAACGTGAGAACACATTAACGGAGATGAGAGCGAGCCAATGGGAGACATCGCGGAGAAATCTGATATGGAGGGGGACGAGGGGGGGTTCCAACTGTTTTGTGAAACTCGCGTGTGCAGTTTCCGTTAGTCGCTTCAAGGCAGAGAGAGGGTGAAGTTGGGCGGCTTTGCAGACACGATCAGGCAGCTAATTAGCAGAGCGTGTGCTGCGCCCTAGTGCCGCAAGCGAAACTTAATGCTTTAAAGAGCACCTGCTACCTGAAAGCCTGTTCAGTAGTTAATTGACTTTGCCTTCTTTGTAGGCTCTTCCAGACCTGTACAGTCCTTCTAAAATGGAGTCAGTAAAAGTCTCAGAAGGGAGAATTCGCTGGCATATGTTTTATTCATTGCATCCAAATATTTACGCAAAACACCGGGTTCAATT